GACCGGTCGCGCGCCAGCGCAGGGCCGCGGCGGAGGCCGGCGCGCCGCGCCGCGGCGCGAGCGCGAGCACGGTCGCGCGGGGCGCGTCCCGGAGCGCCGCGTCCGCGGCGGCGGCGACGGCGCCGAGCGCGCCCGCCGAGTTCGCGCCCGCGAGCGCGTCGACGGCGTCCCTCGCGCCGCCGCCGACGGCCGCGAGGCCCGAGTCGTGGCGCCGCGCGTCGCCGCCGGGGCCCACGCTCCAGACGCACGCGGCGCCGCCGGGCCCGCCGAGGCCCGCGAGCAGGAAGCGGCAGCCGTAGGCCCGCCGCCCGCCGCCCTTGGCGCAGTCGTGGCACTCGTCGGCGACGGCCGTCGCGATGCCCGCGGCGTCCGGCGCGTCCGCCGAGAACTGGAGCCGCTCGCGCGCCGCGTGCATGCGCGCGACGTCGACGAGCGCGGCGCCGTCGGCGCCCAGCCCCGCGAAGGCGGCGCCGTGGCGCGCGTCGACGACCGAGACCTTCTCCGGCCGCGACGCGCCGTCGGCCGCGGCGGCGAGGATCGCTACGTTGTTGCGTATGAGCCCCACGGCGAGGGCGCCGCGCGCGGCGGCGACGTCGGCGTACTCGAGCTGCAGGATGCGGCCCTTCGGGTCGAAGACGAAGGGCTCGCGGTCGTAGGGCACGGACGACCAGGACCGTGGGGCAGCGGAGGCTGCGGCGCAGAGGAGCGCGGCGAGCTTCATGATTGGTGTCAATGTGGTTGCGTCGAAGCTGAGTCCGTCGCGAGCGCGACGATCCGAGCGTCGACGGCGGTGCTATTGATCTACGAGCGGCATTATCGGCCCACTAACTCGCTGCGCATCGGCAGCGGAGCACAAAATGTCGACGCTGCCTTCATCGTCGCCGAAACTGCGGCAAGAATTCTCGACCAGCCGGCCCCGCGGCTCCGACTTTGCTCGCGCCGCCGCCGACCATGGCGTCCAGCGGCGCTCTCGCGAGGCGCATAGACCGCGTCCCACGACTCCCGCGCACGCGCGCCCGAAAAATCGCCGCGTCGATCGACGAAGTTGACGCCGCGCGCCGCCGCGCAGGTTCCTCGCCGCCGACAGCGGCGAGCAGATCGGCGTCAAGCTCTACCACAAGGTGAACCTGGGCCTGCTGGGCCTCACGCCCCTGGCCATCGCGTCCGAGGGCTCGTCCCTGAGCTTCCCCGTGGACATGGCGCTCGCGGTCGCATTTCCGCTCCACGGGCACATCGGCATGAACTACGTCATCACGGACTACATCCCCAAGCTCTTCGGCAACGCCGCGCGCGGGCCGAGCCGCATCATCATGTGCGGCATCACGGGCCTCACGACGCTGGGCCTCGTCAAGCTCAACGTCGAGGGCCCGGGCATCACCGGCGCGCTCAAGGCGCTCTGGCGGTCCTAGGGCGGCCGGGTGGATCGCGGTAAATCTATGCATGTTCCTTCCTTTGCTGCGGCAGCGCGTCGCGGCGGGGCGCTCGGCGAGCTTCTCGGAGCCGTGGGGCGGCGGCTGACCACGCCGTCGAGTGCTCACTCGAGGCACTGTGAGGCTACTGTGGCAGATCACCATCACCAAGTCCTTCTCCCGGTCCGCCGCCGGCGTGGCCGGCCTCGGTAACCCAATGGCAGCGATGGACGACGCGGACCTCGCGAGCCGCTGCACGCGCTGCGTCTTCGGGCCGCGCGCGGTCGTCCAGCCGCGGTACGTCGTCGGCGACGTCGCCGTCTGCAGGGCCTGCGCCACCTTGTGCCTCGCCGGCATCGCGGAGGAAATCACGGGAGACATCCCGCTCCGACCCTTCGCCTGCGGCGTCGCGCGATTGGCGGCGACGGGCCTCTGCGCCGACGTCTTCCGGGACGCCCGGGCGCCCGCGGGCGCGACGCCCGCGCCGGCGTCGTTCGAAGCCGCCGTCGCCGCGGCCGCGTCCCAGCAGGATCCGGCGGGGGAGTCGGCCTCGGACGGCCACATCGTCCGGCAGCTCGAGGGCTGCGTGCGCACGCGCGACGTCTACGAGGACGCGGCGCTGCTGGGCGAGATCCGCGCGCTGCTCCCGCTGAAGAAGTTCCGCGTCGGCGCGGCCGCGCGGCGCGAGGCGCGCGCTCTCGAGAAACAGGGCGACGACTTCCCCGCGGCGCTCGCGGCCGCCAAGGCGAAGATGCTCCTCGCGCGGTCGACGGGCGAGGCCGACGGGGGCTACCCGAGCGACTTCTTCCTCGAGGAGCTCGTCAACTTCTTCAAGGGCCCGAAGTTCTTCAGATGGTTCAAGAAGCCCGACTGCGCCCACTGCGGCAACGCGAAGCACCACGCCATGGCCTTCGCGGGCGCGTCGTCGGACGTCACGGACGCCGAGCGCGCCGGCTGGGCCGCGACCGTCGAGCTCTACGAGTGCAACGCCTGCGGCGGCGTCACGCGGTTCCCGCGGCTCAACAACCCGCGGAGCCTCCTGAAGACGCGCACGGGCCGCTGCGGCGAGTTCGCCAACGCCTTCACGGCCTGCGCGGTCGCCTGCGGCTTCGACGCGCGCTACGTCCTCGACACGACGGACCACGTCTGGACCGAGGTCTTCGCCGCCGGCCGGAAGCGCTGGGTCCACGTCGACAGCTGCGAGAAGAAGATCGACAAGCCGCTGCTCTACGAGAAGGGCTGGGGGAAGGAGCTCGTGGGCATCTTCGCCTTCGGCCGCGACGAGGTCGTGGACGTCACGCGGCGCTACACGCGGGATTTCGGCGCGTGCCTCGCGCGGCGCGCGCCGGGCTCGCCGAGGTGGCGGGGCGCGCTCAGCGAGCGCGCGCTCGCCGCGGCCGTGGACCGGCTCGACCGGCGCCAGCGCGGCAAGCACCCCCGGCCGTCTCCCGACTTCGAAGCGCGGCGCGCGGCGGAGCTCGCGGAGCTCGCGGCGGCCACGTGGTCGGCGCTGCGGCCCCTCGACGCGGAGGAGGCCACGGGCCGCACGGCGGGCGACGCGGCCTGGATCGCCGCGCGCGGCGAGGGCGGATCCGAGAAGCCGCCGCTCCCCGGCGGATCCTGGTCCAACTCGGCGCGGCACGCGGCCGTGTCCGGCGGCGTGCTCACCGCGGAGCTGAGGGACAAGGACGGCGCCTGGCGCGCGGCGTCCGCGGCGTTCCTCTACGGCGACGTCCTCTCGAACCAGGACGGGCGGTTCCGCGTCGAAGGCGGCGGCGACGTCGCGGGCGCGCTAGCAAATCACAAGCGGGGCGCCGACGGCGTCGCGGCCTGCGCGGCGGCGCTCCGGGCCGACGCGGCGCGGTGCTGCCCGGCCGCGGACCTCGCGGAGGTGCGGCGGCGCCACGAGAAGCTGCTGCGGAACCTGCTCGCGGACCCGCCCGACGCGCGGCACCTGGCGATCCGGCTCGACAACGCGGTCGTCCGGCGCTACGTGCTCTCGCCGGCCCACGCCGCGGCGCCCTGGCTCCACGCCGCCGCGGGCTTCGACCTCGCCGGCGGCGCGCTCGTCGCGCCGCCGCCGCCGCGGGGCCGCGTGGAGCGCGCGCTCGACGCGCTCGCCGCCGCGTGGCCCGCGGGCCCCTGATCTTACGGGTGCTTCTGTGTTACTACGAACGAGCAGGAGGGGGTGCGTTGGGCGTCGGGCGCGGGCTCCGGCCGAAGTGCGGCTGTGGAGGCCGCGCGCGGCGACGCCGTACGGCAAACAACAAGGTGCGGCGCGACGCCGCGCGCGGCGGCGCGCGCCGGCCGGGCGGCGCTTTCGCGCCGGTCGCGGGGTGGCCCGCCGCGCCCGCGGGCCGGGCGCCCGGTCCTCAGCGCAGGACGTTGGGCATGGACTGCTGGACGAGGAGCTGGCGCGCGCTGTAGCGGTGCTTCCGGTTGAGCTCGCGGCCGCCGCGCGGGTGTATGTCCTTGTCGACGAAGAGCGCCCGCTTCTCGAACATCTTCGCGAAGACCTCCGGCAGATTGGAGAAGGCGTCGAGGAAGGCGTCGCGGCGGATGTAGAAGAAGTCGGACTTGGTCTCGGCGACGACCGTGATGTCCGACTCGTTCGAGCAGCCCAGGAGGCACAGCTCGCCGAAGGAGCAGCCCTCCTCGAGCTTCTCGTTGGGCGTCTTCTGCTCGTCCTCGAAGTCGCGGTAGCAGGTCCCGCCCTTGAAGATGAAGAGGCTCACGTTCGCGTCGCCGGCCTCGACGATGCGCGCGCCGACGTCGAACGTGCAGCTCCGGACGATGAGCATGACCTTCCACAGGCTGCCCTCGGGCAGGTCCGCGAAGAGGGAGTGCTCCAGCACAAAGTCGTGGAGCAGGTAGATGGAGATGGCCTCCTGGAGCGACGGCGACAGCTTCTCCATGATGTACTCGTCCTCGATCGCGCTGTGGTCCGTGTAGAACTGCTTGAAGAAGCGGCGCACGCGCCGCTTCAGGGCCGGCTCGATGTTGTAGTGCTCCATCCAGGACGCGAGCTGGTCCATCTTCTCGAAGTAGACCGCGTTCTTCGAGTCGACGGACGACACCATCGAGCTCACGGACGCGATGATGTACGAGTAGAACGACACGCCCATGAGCATGCCGAAGATGGCGAAGATGCGCTCCATGTCGCCCGCCGGCGTGATGTCCCCGAAGCCCACCGTCGTCATCGTCGTGAAGGCCCAGTAGATGGCCGCGAGGTACTGGCGGCGCCAGCTCCACTCCGACGCGGGGTCGTCGTCGCCGTGCCGCGGGCTGTAGGTCCGGAGCCAGCCGTCGCCGCTCACGGCCATGAAGCAGGCCAGGAGGTGGGCGATGAGGAACGACGACATGATGATGGACATGACCTTGGCCGCCAACGCGCCGAAGGACGACGACATGAACTCCTCGACGGCCGTCATGAGCTCCGTGTCCTCGTTCGACAGGAGCTTGAGGAACTTGCCGATGCGCAACGCCTTGAAGACCTTCATGACCTTGATCAGCTTGAAGACCTTGGCGCTGCTGAGCTTGTCCGCGCCGCCCGCGGCCGCGCCGATGAGCGCGAGCAGCACCTCGAGCACCGGCGGCATCGAGCTCACGAAGTCGAGCGTGAACCACGTGAGCAGGTAGTGGCGCGCCGCGGCCCCGGGGCTCATGACGAGGATGCCGTCGGACGTGAAGTAGCCCGTGCGGAAGTTCAGGACTAGATCGACGATGAAGACGACGTCCATGACGCGGTTCATGCGGCCGAGCGCCGTGCCGTCCTTGAGCATGTCGTCGTCCCAGAAGCCCATGGACAGGGGCTCCGTCACCAAAACGTAGAAGATGAAGAAGGCGATGAAGACGTCCCACATGATGCGGAAGACGCCCGAAGGGTTGATCATGCCGCAGCACCGCTTGTGCCAGGGGTCGCGCTCGCTCTCCTTGAGCGACTGCTCGATGGCCTCCTTGTCGTGCTGCTCGAAGATGACGGAGAGGCGGCTCGTCTCCATGCGCTTCCGGCGGGCCACGGGGTCCTCGTCCTCGGGGCTCACCTCCTCGGAGTCCGCGTTCCCGAGGCCGAGCACGTTGTCCGCGCCGACGGCGGACATGAGCTGGCCGATGGACGAGCGCCGCCGGCCGTTGCGCGGCGGCGGGCCCACGGGCTCCTCGACCTCGCGGTAGTTCGGGTCCGCCGGGTTCAGCAGCGCCCGCTCCGAGAGGCAGGGGTTCGGCTCGCCCTCGGGCACGGACGCCAAAGCGTCGGTCGTCGCGGCGCCGAACGGCCGCGGCGGCTCGTCGCCGTCCTCGTCGGCCTCGGCGCTCTTGTAGTCGAAGTTCGACGCGACGAGCTCCGTCTCCCGCGGGTTCGACGCCTTGTAGGGGCTGTAGGTCGCGAAGAGGCCGCCGTCGTCGGACACGTCCGTGTGCTCCGCGATGCCGTTCTCCGACGACTGCGACGTCGACCGGCACCGCGTGTACTTGACGGGGACCTTGGCCTATAGGGAAGGGAGGGTCTCTCTACGTGCCAGAAAAAGAAGGACGCGGGTCGTCCGCGCCCCCTGGCTGAGCGCGCGCTCGCGCTTTTCGGATCGGCGCCGCTCGACCGCGCTCGTCTCGGGGACCGCGAGGCGCATGGCCGCGGCGTTGACGCTGGCCTCGCAGGCCCGGCTCGCGCCCTCGAAGGACTCGTGGAGCTTGCGGAGCTCGTCGCTCGCCCGCCGCTGCGCGTCCGTGTCCCCGCACGCGCCCGCCGCGGCCGCGACGACCTCGCACTGGTGCGTCGCGAGTTTCCCGACGAGCTCGATCTGGGACCGCAGGCCGTCGAGGGACACGAGGGCGTCGCTCACGTGCTTCAGGTCCTCGCCGTCCCGGGGGGGCGCCATGGCGCGCGCCGACTGGCCGGGCGGGGGGCCGCAACGGCGGGGAACGTCCCGGGGCCGCGGTGCGGCGCGCGTCGGGCGACTCCGGGGCGCTCAGAGGCCCGCCACCATGGAGGCCGGCCCGGGCCTCGACCCCGAGAACGTCGACGGCCCGACCCGCCTACCGCGGAAACCGTCACGGCGCGACGTCGGGCTGCTCCACCGCTTCTTCGCAGGGGCTGCCCCGCGGCCTCTAACTAATTGGGCACCGTCGGCTTTCCGGATCTGTGTATCCGGGGCAGGGTGCGTCGTCGATTCGATCGATCGTCTGGGGCAGGCCCCCGTCACCATGTCCATGCGCTTCAAGCCGCCGAAGAAGGGCGTCGGGGCCGGCGACGAGGGCTGCGTGCCGCAGCACTGCGGCTCGCCGACGGCCGGCGGCGCCACGCCGCGCCGGGACGCCGACGGCGACGACAAGCTCAAGGGCGAGGGCGGCGGCGTGCCCAACTGGAAGCTCTGGAAGGGGAAGAACGTCTTCGCCCTCGGCGGGCGGGCCATGCTCGGCGCCGACGCGCGCATCTTCGCCATCACGAACTGCTTCGTCGTCGCCACGGCGCTCGTCTTCTTCGGGGACCTGTGCCCGCGCATGCGCGGCTCGGAGCGCGAGCGCCACGTCTACGTCGGCGCCGCGCTCTACGCGTGCACGCTCGGCGCCATGTGGCTCGCGGCGTTGAGCGACCCGGGCGTCATCCCGCGGTCCGGCTACGCGCGCCAGGACTACGGCGACGACGGCGCGCGGCTCCGGAGCCGGAGGGAGGCGTGCGAGCCCTGCGACGGCGACGAGGCCGAGGGCGAGGAGCGCGAGACGCTGATCGCGCGCCAGATTCTGGACGGCTGGCAGGCCGTCGTCCACGACGCGAGCGGCGACGTCTACTTCTGGAACAAGCGGACGAACGAGAGCACGTGGGACCGGCCCGTCGCCGGCGGCCACGTGTGTTCGACGTGCGCCGTCTTCCGCCCGAAGCGCGCGAAGCACTGCGGCTACTGCAACAACTGCGTCGAGCGCTGGGACCACCACTGCCCCTGGATCGGCACCTGCGTCGGAAGACGCAACTATCGCAGCTTCTTCGCCATGCTCCTCTTCGCGACGGCGCTCGCCGGGGCGGGAAACGGGCGCGACATTCCCAACTTCAAAGGCTCCGAGCTCGGCCGTTTTCCACTCGTTTCGGCTGATTTTTGGACGAGCGATCATCTCTCGGAGCGGTCTCGACGCGTGGATAAGTTTTCCGGAACGCGCGCGCGCGGCACACTCACGTTGAATCACTCTCCCGCCCAGGCGCTCGCCGCGTTCGTCACGAACGCGGGCTTCGCGGTGATATTCTCAAACTACAAGCGCAAGGGCGGCGCGGACACGTCGAAGCTCTCCGCGCGCGCGCTCTTCGTGCTGGCGATCCGCCACCGCGCGGACGTTCTGCTGTTCGCCTTCGTGTCCGCGGCGATCTTGTTCCTGCTGCTGTGGCTCTTCACGTACCACGTGTTTCTCATCCTCAGCGCGATGACGACGAACGAGCACCTCAAGGGCACATACTCGAACAAGCCGAACCCGCACAACCGCGGCATCTGCTCGAACCTGTGGACCTTCCTCTCGGAGGCGTGCCCGCCCTCGAACCTCGTGGACCTGTCGGCGACGGCGTCGACGACCGTCGTCGCCGGCGCGCGCGCCGTCGCGGGAAACGCGCCGACCGCGGCGGACGTCGCCGAGTGCGGCGACGCGGGCGCGCCGCCGTCGTAAGGCGCTTTGGTGTGGGTGCGGTCGCGGACGCGTCGGGGCCGGCCTTCGGAGGCGTCCGGAGGCTTACTTGTTGTACTACCGAGGCGGTCGACGCGCGCAGCGTCTCGACGCACCGGCTGGCGGCCCAAGGCCCGTCCACCGACCGGTCGAGCAGGACTTTGAGCAAACAGCAAACATGGTGCGCGCGCGCCGAATCGCACGCGCGCCGATCGCGCAACACACATGACTCACGCGCGCGTCTCTCCGCAGGGCCAGGGCGCGAGCGCGGAGGAGGCCGACGCGACGGGGTACCGCGTCCTCGGCGTGCAGCCGAACTCGCCGGCGTCGGACGTGGGCCTCGTGTCCTTCTTCGACTTCGTCGTCGCCGTCGACGGCGTCGAGCTCCGCGAGCTCGACTCGACGTTCATCGACAAGATCAAGGCGGCGCGGCCCCGGCGTCTTCGAAGTTTCGCGCCGCGCGACGCCCCGACGCGCGTCCGCCCCGCCGCAGTCCGAGGACAGGCCGCTGCCCTGCGTCGTCTACAACCTCAAGAGCCGCCAGACGCGGAGCGTGACCATCACGCCGACGCGCAACTGGGGCGGCCAGGGCATGCTGGGCGTGACGATCCGTTTCGACACGTACCACAAGGCGGACGAGCACCTCGTCCGCGTGCTCGAGGTCGCGCCGGGCTCGCCGGCGGAGATCGCGGGGCTCCGGGCGGGCACGGACTACCTCCTCGGCACGGCGGAGCGCGTCTTCGGCGACTCGGACGCGCGTCGCGCCGCGTCCCTTTCGTCCCGGCGGCCGCGCGACGCGCGTCGCCTCCCGCGCAGGTCCTCAACGACGAGTGCACGCTGCACCTCGACAAACCCGTCGAGTTCTACGTCTACAACACGGAGACCGACGAGGTCCGCGTCGTCGTCCTCCTCCCGACGTACTCCTGGGGCGGCGGCGGCTGCCTCGGCGCCGCGGTCGCGCACGGCTACCTCCACCGCCTCCCCGCGAGGTGTCGAGAGTCGAACGGCGTCTCCATCGAGCCCGAGCGGCCCGTCGCGCCCAACGCCCGCGACGCCATGGCCGTCGACGCGCCGCCGCCGCCGCCGCCGCCCGCGGACGTCCCGCCGCCGCAGACCGAGGTCCCCGTCGCCTGAGAGGAGGACGACGGCCCGCCCCGGCGGCCGCGGAGTAGAGGCCGCACCTGCCCCGCCCCTTTCTGCCGCGCGGACCGGCGGCGCGGTCGGGTGTCGGGTGTGTGAGGCTTGAGGGGGGTCGGTGGCGCCCTCGGCGCCCTCGGCGCCCTCGGGACGAGGGCGCCGCCCTCTCGTCCGACGCCCTCGGCTGAGGGATTTTCCCCTCGTCCGAGGGAGCCGAGCGTCCGAGGGTCCGAAATGGCCGAGGGCGCCGAGGGCGCCGACGGCCGCTGATTGGCCAGGCACGCCCGGCGCGCTCGAACCGTGACTGCAAATCTCTGGCCATCCGTCGTTGGAAGGTTATGAGGGGGCGCGGCAGCCCAAAGGCGCAGCCCTTGGGCGTCCCTGGGCGCGCCGTGGGTGCCGGCATTGACGCCCACGGTCGCGACGGTCCCCGAGACGGGGCGCAGCCAAGAGCGGCGGCCGTGCGGCGCTTTCCCCTCGCGGCGCCGTGGGCTGCCTACACGTCGGCGCGGGCACGAGGTCCTGTCGGTCCTAGGCCGCGCAGTCGCCCCAGTCGATGATGGAGCGTGGCCCGGGGGCGGCCAGGGATA